TGCTGCAGTCTTCTGTGATTTTCCTTCGGATTTCTCATCGGGTCTGCCGAGACGGTGGGGGATGCGGTAAGTCCGAGGCGCGGCCGTTGCTGATGTCACTATTTTCCCCGCTTTGAAGCTTCAAATCTCAACAACCCCCACATCCCCACCCACACCTCACTTGCACACCTCCAAACCAAGCTCTCACGTCTGACGAACTCGTTCTTCACTATTTTCTCCCTCAATCACAAAAACTCATCAAACAATTGCCAAAATGGTCAAAGCTGGTACGTGGGACAGCCGCCAATGAGCACCACCGTCCCGGAGAAGTGGGGCACATGGTTCTGAGAAACATGCTCAAAATACGGACCGTCCCTGTCGGGAGCAGCGGAAAGCGTCAGGATGCTCAGGGACACCTGGACCTAGCAGTTATTGCACATGCTAACTCGTGTAGTTGCCGTCGTCCGTGGAGACTCGAACATCAAGGGCACCGTCACCTTCGAGCAGGAGTCCGAGTCCAGCCCTACGACCGTCTCATGGAACATCAGCGGCCACGACGCCAACGCTGAGCGCGGCTGGCACATCCACGCCTTTGGCGACAACACCAACGGCTGCACCTCGGCTGGACCCCACTGTATGCGCCTAAGATGACGGTGATGGGGATTGCAGCTCACCACATACAGTCAACCCTCACAACAAGACCCACGGTGCCCCCGACGACGAGGAGCGCCATGTTGGCGACCTGGGCAACCTGAAGACGGATGGCCAGGGCAACGCTCAGGGCTCCAAGCAGGACAAGCTCATCCAGCTCATTGGCCCCAACAGCGTCATCGGCGTACGTTCTTCAATTCACTGTTTGCCCTTTCTAAGAGACAGTCGCTAACGGACTGGCAGCGCACTGTGGTCATCCACGCCGGCACCGATGATCTCGGCCGCGGCGGCCATGAGGAGTCGAAGAAGACTGGCAATGCGGGCGCCCGTCCTGCTTGCGGTATGTGTAACGTGTTCGCAGCAGTCTGTGATACTGACCAGTCTGCAGGTGTCATCGGCATTGCCGCATAGATGGCTTGTGCCACAATGTTGGATCCTTTCCAATGGCTCGTAGCCGGGTTAGCAAGCGGGGTGTTTGGAGTAAATACAGGTATCTAGCAATTGAAACAAAAGGCTCCGTCCTGCAACCCCACAGCTTCTCGAAGACTCTCTGCTGGTGGTGAAGTGAAAGGAGGCGGGGCGGGGTGCATGTCAGTTAGTGCTGTCGATCGAGGCTTCCCATTGGTCAGCAGGGCGGGTCTAAACACCCAAATGCAGGTGCTCTCGGCAGCTTCACTTAGCTTTGGACACATCTGTAGAAAACACACCCCGACCTCCATATCTTTTCTCCCCCGCCTCCCCCATACCCTTACTCATCCTTGCATCTTACTCTCTTGCTAGCACCCGCACCATGGCTACGTTCGAAGCAAAGGTCAAGTCGGTGCTTTCCGGCGACACTGTGATTCTGCATAATGTGCACAATCCCAAGCAGGAGCGCACCTTGAGCTTGGCTTTTGTTACAGCTCCCCGCCTGAGACGAGAGGGCGACGAGGTACGACAATTGATTTTGAAAAGTCTCAGGCAGTGCATCGGCTAACCAGAATCTGCCCATAGCCCTTTGCTTTCGAATCCCGCGATTTCCTGCGCCGTCTCCTTGTCGGCAAAGTGGTCCAATTCCGAGTCCTCTACAAGATTCCCACGGGCGCCAATCGTGAATACGGAATCATCTCCCTACCGAATAAGACGCAACTACCCGAGACCGCTGTCGCCGAAGGCTGGGTCAAGCTCCGTGACGACGCTGGCCGCAAAGATGACTCGGAAGAGGCAGCTGCAGTCCTGGAAAAGCTTCAAATGCTCGAGGCCCGCGCACGAGCTGATTCGAAGGGGCTGTGGCAGGACTCGCCAAGCAATATCAATTCCACAAACGAACTGAGCGATCCTAGGAAGTTTGTTGAGGACAACAAGGGCCAAGACCTGAATGGTGAGTTTAGCATTGCTTTGGGCAGTCGGCGATGCTAACTGGAATAGCTATTGTGGAGAAGGTTCTTTCTGGTGACCGCCTCATTTGCCGCATCCTCGTATCGCCCACTGACCATGTGCAAACAATGGTCCTACTAGCCGGTATCCGCGCACCGGCCACAAAGCGTATAAACACCTCGGACGGAAAGGAGCAGCCTGCGGAGCCCTTCGGAGAAGACGCACAGCAGTTCGTCGAGACCCGGTTGCTCCAGCGGACTATCACACTCAATGTCCTCGGCGTAAGCCCGAACGGCCAACTCGTTGCCACCGTCAAGCACCCCATGCAAGGCAACATTGCCCCATTCATCCTCAAGGCCGGTCTTGCGAGATGTACCGATCACCACACGACGATGCTCGGACAAGAGATGAGTGTGCTCCGCCAGGCTGAGAGGGCGGCGAGGGAAGCTCGCCAGGGCCTCTTCCAAGGTCAAGCGGTGCAGAAGACGTCAAGCGGAAACGAGATGGAAGCCATTGTCAGCAGAGTACAGAGCGCCGACACTATCTTCCTGCGGAGCAAATCAGGCAGCGAGAGGCGCATCAACCTCAGCAGCGTGCGCCAGCCTAAGCCTACTGACCCCAAGCAGTCGCCCTGGGTTCCCGAAGCCAAGGAGTTCCTCCGCAAGAAGTTGATCGGAAAGCATGTAAAATTTACGATAGACGGGAAGCGCCCCGCCACCGAGGGCTACGATGAGCGTGAGATGGCCACAGTCAAGTTCCAAGATAAGAACATCGGCTTGTGGCTAGTGGAGAATGGTATGGCGTCCGTCATCCGCCATCGCCAGGAGGATACCGACCGCAGCCCCATCTACGACGACCTTCTCCTGGCCGAGCAGGCTGCAAAGGAGGCACAGAAGGGTATCTGGTCGCCGAAAGCTCCCTCCGCAAAGCAATATGTCGACTACTCCGAATCGCTTGAGAAGGCCAGGCGCCAACTGACCTTGCTCTCTCGCCAGCGTAGAGTACCTGCGGTTGTGGATTTCGTCAAGTCTGGATCCCGCTTCACGGTCCTGGTACCTCGCGAAAACGCCAAATTGACCCTTGTGCTCTCTGGTATCCGCGCCCCACGATCTGCCCGCAACCCGACCGACAAGGGCGAGCCTTTCGGACAGGAGGCACACGACTTCGCCAACAAGCGCACCCTGCAGCGTGATGTCGAGATCGATATCGACGACTGTGACAAGGTCGGCGGCTTCATCGGCACCCTGTATGTCAACCGCGAGAACTTTGCCAAGTCACTTCTGGAAGAGGGCCTTGCCAGCGTACACGCATACTCGGCGGAGAAGTCTGGCAACGCCAACGAGCTCTACGCTGCGGAGAAGAAGGCGAAGGACGCTCGTAAAGGCCTGTGGCAAGACTGGGACCCTTCGCAGGAGGAGGAGGAAGGCGAGACTACGACCGCAGGCGCCGAAGCTAACGGCGAGGCAACACAGACGCGGCAGAAGGATTACCGCGACGTGATCGTCACGCACGTCGACGAGTCCGGCAAGCTCAAGCTGCAGCTCGTTTCGACGGCAAAGAGCGCGTTGCAAGAGCTCATGACCTCATTCCGCAGCTTCCACCTAAATCCCAGCAACAACCAGTCGCTCCCCGCACCCCCCAAGGCGGGCGACTACGTCGCTGCGCAGTTCAGCGAAGACAACCAGTGGTACCGCGCGCGCATCCGACGCAACGACCGCGATGCGAAGAAGGCAGAAGTCGTCTACATCGACTACGGCAACTCAGAAACCGTGCCCTGGGCTCGTCTGCGCCCGCTCTCTCAGCCCCAGTTCTCCCCTCAATCGAAGCTCAAGGCTCAGGCCATTGACGCTCAGCTCTCCTTCCTCCAGTTCCCTGGCGCCCCTCACTACCTCGCCGACACGGTCGATTTCATCAACAGCGAAATCGCAAACCGCGAGCTTGTGGCCAACGTCGACTTTGTTGAGAAGGATGGTACCTTGTGGGTTACCCTATTTGATCAGAACAACAGTGGCAGTCCGGATCAGAGCTTGAACGCGGAGCTGCTTAGTGAGGGCCTCGCGATGGTGCCGAAGAAGTTGAAGGCGTGGGAGAGGGGTGCCAAGGACATCCTGGACGCGTATACCAAGAGGCAGAATGAGGCCAAGGAGGAGAGGAGGGGGATGTGGGAGTATGGCGATTTGACAGAGGACTAGATGCGTGATATGAGGTTGGCTGAGGAGTGTTGTACGAGATGGTTGCTGCTGAGGATCGCTGGCAATGAGTGTTTGCTTCAGAGTTTCTGGTCTCTTCGGAGAGTTTGCGTAAGGCTTTTTTCCTCTTTGGAGGCTTGGAACTGGACACGGAAAAGGAAAACGGGATATCAGTAACATAGGAAGAGGGGATAGTGAGAAATTCACCGTTATACGCCTACTTTGATATTTCTGCAGTGACTTTTATTGTGACGTTTTCTGTTGGAACTCATTTTTGAGTAGATTCCAACATCCACGCACGCATGCACTACACAGGACGACCCTCCTAAAATGTCTGAGTCATTTCCCCTCGCAGCCCAACGCCCATCGGATCATCGCTTTGGGTTCCCACGCGCCGTTGCTGCTGCCCAGTTGGCTCCACCGCCATGCATTAGGTTTGCGGTTCTTTCGCACAGATGATCTTCAGGGTCCGCCGTCAAGCAAGGCACAGGAACACCACCTACCGGCTGATTCCAGCCCAATGGCTCTGAAAGGAGATTTCAAGTGAAGTGCTCTGTTGGGAGTGAAGATGTCTGGAGCAGCGTGAAGTCCCACTCGTCAATATTCGTCTGTTAAAAAAAGCGGGTTTTGTGAACCCCCTACGTCGGCTTTCATAAAACTGGTTTCAACTCTGGCGCATGGTTCGGTTCGCTCCTTTTTTCCCCTTCTAACTTGCCAAAACCAAAAAAAGGCAGAGGGACGAATCATCTTCCATTTGACACCAAAAGTGCAAAAGAGCAAAAAAAAGATGATTCCCGAAACCCGCTTTTTCAAGCAGACGAATATTGATGAGAGTGGGACTCGAACCCACGCCACTTTCGTGACCAGGAATTAGTGTTAAGGTAACCTTAACCTGGCGCCATAACCAACTCGGCCATCTCACCGGATCTGATATTTAGTGGTTGTAATGATAACATATTATATTAGAAAAATGTGGCTGGCACACCAACGCTCCTACCTTTGATGGCAGACATGGAGAGAGTGCAGCGAACCTTTAGAAGACATGGGGAGCCACACAACCAAGACGAACGTCGCTTTCGTATTGAGCACGTGTTCACCATAGGAAATCAAACTGTGGTAACGTCTCACTGCGTGGATTTTGGCCGTGCATCCTTGGCCGCCTCTTGAGACTGATGGCATCTAGGTCTAATTTCTCGACTGTTCTGTCCAGTTGCAGGTCAGAAGGATAGCTGCAGCATTGCGACATGGTATTGCTCCGCCTTTGCCTTTCACAAAGAACAATCAACTAACAGCATCTAACTTACCTGTCTGCGCAAGTGAAGGACTTGGAAGCAAGAGATCAGACGTCCACGCGTGAATTCATAACTCCGAAAGCGGATAGTCGGCCTAGTTGGGTTCAAGTGTAATGAGTCGGACTTTGAGGGGTTTGGACTTGACCTTTGAGACGTAGACGGGGAAGGGCTAGTTCGACGAGATTCCCAACTTCGATGGACTGCACGCACAAAGACGACACTGTCAGCACGTTCCTCATAATCAGCAGATCCGGGTAGGACGGAGCGAGCATGCAGAGGCCAATATCGTTCGACCTCCGCCACTGTGGTACAGCATTCTGAGGCTTGCCGATATCGCTGCACAGTGGCCGATCTCACAACGCCAAAGATCTGGGGGCGCGAGGAGGTAGGCATGGATAAGTGCGGGATATGTCTTGCATCTTACCAAGAGTGATCACAGTTGCAAACCGAGATCTGAGTGGTCCTAGGGAGTAGCCTTGCGCTGGTCAAGTATACCCCTCAGCACATTTGGACTCGTTGAGGAGTCTCACACTCCAAGACGTTCGCTGCGTGACCTGGTATTCGGTGCCAAACGAAGTTTTACACACCATGGTACGAGTGGGAGACTGGCTGGTCGTACAATGGACACCATTCTTAATCGAAAGTGTACGACAGGAAAGCCCAGTGGAGCCACGGGGGCAGTTGGAAGGACATTGGCGGAAGCATGCTGGGCTCGCCCAATCTGGCGCGTTATCTGAAGAATCTCCAAGTGTCCAATGTCGTGTATTACGCCGACGTACTTGCGGGAAACGAGTACCGCTCGATGTATGACGCATCTTGGTTCGCTAGGTGTGTGTCAGGAAGGCTGATGCGACGCCCAGAGAACGTGGAGCACCCATGCAATAGGGTAACACGTGAACAGCCTTCGGAAGATACGATAACGGGCATCGTGGTACTGGTGTGTCGACGATGACAGCATGCGCAGTGATCAATCGATTTCCCTCGTTCTAACCTGCTGAGCATAGAGTGCTCGGTGGCCTATGTTCGAACAGTGCGCCGGAGTTTCTTCTCATGTATCAACGAAGCTTTGGCGGGTGGCCGAATGAGCGAAAGAAACCCGCAAGGCGGGGCGCTATGTTACACGGATACTGTGGCTATATACTGTTGGGCCAACACGTAGAGTGGGCAGCCGAGGTGTGATATGTGCAGATCGTTCTGAGTGGTGACTGCTAGGCCGGCCAGTAGCAGAGGTCGTAGCTAGCGGCGAAGGACAGATAGCTTCTAGCGTTCTGAGTTAATGAATGGATGTGGGTATGCCTTGCTGTTCCTGCATGGCAGATGAGCTTGACGTGGCTGCATCCGAGGGTGGACAGCAACAAAGCTGGGAAGCCGCGGAGTGGCTGGTGTTAGAGCTGGTGAGAGAACAAAGTGAAGCAGCGAGACATAAATGTGGCCCCTCGAGCAGCTGGAGCCAGTCGAGGCAACGAGTGGATGTCTGAGGTGGAGAGGGAACGGTGATGTCGTGGGAAGGCTAGCGGAACGGCACGCTAGTTAGTCGCCCTAGTCCGCATACGGCAATACGCTAGCCGACGTCGCTAGCACCGCTGTGAAAGACGGTCTTCTGTGGTTCAGTCACCAGCGGCCTCGTAGGTGCGACCTCAGACAACAAGCGGTGAGCCTCGCAGAAGCAGAAAAGAGGCGAGTGGAGGATGGCGGAGATACAGTGGCCACGACGGCAGCGCGCGGAGGGCCGCGGTTTCAGGCGTGGCGATTTGATGAGAGGCAGCGCGCGCCGCGAACGACGACCATCGATCCGGTCAGACGAGGGCCGGCACAGAGCCTGAGACGCAGGCCAAGCGGGCCAGGGCTGCAAACCGCCGCGAGGAGACGGTGATTACGCACATCATGGATGCGGGCTTCGGCGAGTGAGGGCTGTGGGCGAGTAGCAGGCGGCCAGCACCAGCAACTTGCACGCACCACGGCGGTGCACAGCGTCTGCGAGAGAGCCAATCGTGTGCACAGTGGAAACTGGCAGAAGGAGAGGCTGCTGCGTCACCAACGCCCACGCCTGAGGAGCATTCGAGGAGCCTGAGGTGGAGAGAGAATGCTGATCGGCCGCCATCAGTTGCGCAGTTGCTGCCCATCGCCCGCGCTGGGTTCCAATTTCGGTGCGTGCCTGCGACGTGCGCGCCCAACCTAACTTAAGGCCGTTATATATAAGTGATTCATGCGGCCCCCCGCCCGCCTGCAGCCCGCAAAAATCCCCGCTGCTGCTGTCGGACAGCCAGAAAAAAAAAGCAGAGCCAGGCTGCGCGCTCGTCATACCGTCCGGTGTGGGAGGCGCCGACTCGACCCGTCTCGTTTTCTTTCCCCAGGCTGCACTCCTCCCTACTCTCCCTCACCACGACACTCCCACCACCACTCCGCCATGCGACCTTGACTTCTCCAGGATCCCCCGCCAGCCGAGCAGATGCGCCCCTTACCCCGTGCCCTCGCATGAGCCCTAAAGCAGACGATCACTGACTGCGGCGCGCTCTTTATCCGTCGCATATCGCTTTCGCACGTCCGCCCAATTTGCCCGTGCTGACCACCACCACCCTCCAGCTGTCTCTCCTCGGCCATCCGCGAATCTGCAATCATGGCCGGCGTTCGGAAGATGCACCAGGCGACAGTCGAGGAATACCACTCCACTGACGAGAGCGATCGCGACATCCTCGTCGACGAAAAGGCGCGCCGGTCGCCCGCAACACCGGGCCAGGCCAACGTGGCAGCGAAAAGATCACAGACCTCCGACCTAGGCAAAGACAAGACGCCCGCTGCGGAGAAGGTCATCAACATCGACCTCCAAAGCGACTCGGGGTATTCGAGCCACACCGCTGCGACGATGAGCAGTGCTGATTCCGCCCCAAGTGCGAAGGCGCAGAGCCCGCCTGCAGCTCCCGTGGCGCCTACACCGACCCCTTCTGCAGACCCTCCTGCAAAGAGGCGGCCGACGCTGTCCAGGGAGGACCGCCACAGCAGCAACAGCAGCCCCAGGAAACCGCTGACGCGATCTGGCTCTATGTCGCAGTCGCGCCCATCGCGTGAGCGACAGTCTTCCACGACTTGCAAAGATCCTCACTGCACAGAGTGTCCTGCTTCGCGCGGCCGCAGGGCACCCAGGCCATCGCCTCTCGACTCTGGTCTCGATATCTCCTATCCTCCCTTCGACGATGTGCGCTCGCAGCACTCCGACCCGAACCCGGTCTCCTCATACCTCACTCCTCAAACGCCAACCTACACGCGACAATCCGATCCCTATAGAGACGGTACCGCGCTCGTGCAGCCCAATCGCACCCGGCGGTCTTCGTCCACAGCGCGGCCGATGAGCTACGCCGGAGAAGCGCCGCCTGGGCATCCTTACAACGGTTGGAGCCACCCTGGCATGCTAGCGTCGTACCAGTCTCCACCGCTGGATGTTCCCGTCCACGGCATGCCGCCATCCATGTCCGCTTATCATCAGATGGCCGCTTACAACGCCATGATGGGCACCACTCCTCCCAACTTCCACCAAATGCCAATGACGCCGGGGTACGACATGCAGCCAGGCTACGACATGCACCGGCCGCCGATGCCTACTCGCAACTCCTCCAGCTTCAGCACCCGGAGGCCCGTCTCTGAAATCTATGGTCAGCCTATCCTGAACCAGGACACCGCCAAACTGCCGTCTGCACGATACGCGCCGGCTCCGGAAGACAAACCAAGCAAGAAAAAGGTGACGCAGTCTCGCTTCGACACCGACTCCGAGTCGTCAGAGGAGGAAGTCTACGAAAAAGCTATCATGGGACCGCCTCCCCGACCCAAAGCATCGCATCACCGCCAGCCTAGCTCACGGGAACTGACGTCTTCGAAGGCTGAGCGTCGAATGTCTCAGTCTCTTGCACTGGAGCCTCCCCGGCGGGACCGTGAGAGGGAAAGAGATCGCGAGTCCCGTCTCTCCCGGACCACCACTGCTCCTGCTCGTTCAAAGTCAATCACTCGCGTCCGCCCTGCACTGGTGCAGCACCCGAAGGCCCAGTCTGCTTTGGAGACCTCTCGCAACGCGCAGCTCGTAGTGGAGAGCTCAGGGAGACGCAGGTCGTACCAGCATTATGAGAAGCAATACCGTTCTGAAAAACGCCGCTCTCGGATGTACGAGGACGATGGCGGTGTTGCTCTCGAACCTCAACGTCGACAACGAACCGATCCCACCCTCGGCAAGGACGACTTGCGTGACGTGGAGAACGAGATTGAAGCGTACCAACAGCGCACCCGAGGTAGCGCGACCCCTTTCAATGAACAGGTGCACAAAGAAGCGAAACGTGGCTCGCGACTCATTGCCGGCCCCGCCGATGCCAAATCCTCGCGCAGCAGAGGCAGCGATAAGGCGAGCCGTGTCAGTCAGTCTAACCGCACGACGGTGACGAATGGCGGCACCGGTGAGATACGTCTCAGGGTAGACGCGTCGGCACCCCTTAGTCTCCAGCTCAACGGCGACATGGAAGGCCGTAACATCTCCATCGAGCCGACTGAAGACGGCATGGCAAACATCATCATCGGAGAAAGAGAGACGAGCTACCGCAGCGAGAGAGGCAGCATCTACGGCACCAGCGGGAGGTCGTCTGTCAGTCGGT